CTGTGGGCCAGTATTTCCATACAGTCATGGCTTTGTTCCCTGTAAGCTTTCAGCCCACCTGATATGCAAAGTGTGCGTACTGAGTCATTTGAATCGCAAACAAACGGTACGGTTAGTGAGTGGGCACTGCTGCTGTTGGAAGCGTAGTAGTTAGTCATTAAATCTGAGACGGTGCTCGTTTCAACTTTCTGTTGAGTTAATTTTTGCTACATCGCAGATTGAGTGCAGGGATTGCACTGAATTACAGCATTTCAGCAGTTCTTCAGGTAAAAACACTTGTTTGAACCTTTCTGGGAATTTTCTAAAGACGCACACTGACCTCTAGTGGTGAAGACTAAGCATTAGTGCTCCAGCACTTTCCTTCAACCTTTCTGCGTATACACCGATCAGGCATAACATTATGACCACCTCCTTGTTTCTACACTCATTGTCCATTTTATCAGCTCCACTTACTATATAGGTGCACTTTGTAGTTCTACAGTTACAGACTGTAGTCCATCTGTTTCTCTGATACTTTGTTAGCCCCCTTTTACCCTGTTCTTCAGTGGTCAGGACCCCCATGGACCCTCACAGAGCAGGTACTATTTGGGTGGTGGATCATTCTCAGCACTGCAGTAACACTGGCGTGGCGGCGGTGTGTTAGTGTGTGTTGCGCTGGTCTGAGTGGATCAGACAGCAGTGCTGCTGGAGTTTTAAACACCTCAGTGTCACTGCTGGACTGAGTATAGTCCACCAACCAAAAACATCCAGCCAACAGGACTAGAGAATGACCAACACAAACTGTGCAGCAGCAGATGAGCTATCGTCTCTGACTTTACATCTACAAGGTGGACTGACAAGGTAGGAGTGTCTAATAGAGTGGACAGTGAGTGGACACAGTGTTTAAAAACTCCAGCAGCACTGCTGTGTCTGATCCACTCAGACCAGCACAACACACACTAACACACCACCACCACGTCAGTGTTACTGCAGTGCTGAGAATGATCCACCACCCAAATAGTACCTGCTCTGTGAGGGTCCATGGGGGTCCTGACCACTGAAGAACAGGGTAAAAGGGGGCTAACAAAGTATCAGAGAAACAGATGGACTACAGTCTGTAACTGTAGAACTACAAAGTGCACCTATATAGTAAGTGGAGCTGATAAAATGGACAATGAGTGTAGAAACAAGGAGGTGGTCATAATGTTACGCCTGATTGGTGTTTTATCGCCTGTTACTTTTTAGTGATGTATATTTTCGCATGTTGTGTAGGGGTGGGAATCTTTAGGCACCTCACGATTCGTTTCGATTGCGATTCAGAAGCTGCGATGCGATCAAAACGATTATCGATGCATCTTTTTTTTTCTCACTGTGTAACAACTTGGAACTTGTAAAGCCAAGTATTTGTAATGATCCATAATGAATTTGCTTCCAATATCTTTTATTAAAAACAAGCAGAAGCGATGAGGCAACTGAGCTGTTAGGCTCTCATTCATCGCTCTTGTTTGGAGCACGAGACACGTGCTGCCACTCATCTGTGATCAAATGCGCAGTTACGGTGACATAAGATTATATGGATGTCCACGCATCACGTTACAGCTATTCTACCCGTTTTCTTCAGTGGTTCAGTTGGGGGGGTGTCGCTGCGTCAGTAAAATATCTTCGAGACGGGACGCTGTATCCCAGCTCCGAAATGGGCAACACAACTCATGTTGAGTAACAGAAAAATATAATAATTTTATCAGAAATTCCTCAATTACACATTATTATTAACCCTATAACCACCCAGATGTAGTGCGTTAATAAACTAAATGTTCTCTTTCTTTGTTCATTAGGTTCATCTCAGCCTATGGGCAACGTGAACTCCCTCGGCGGCGCCGCCCCCAGCGCTCAGCGTCTGTTCTCACAGGCGCAAGGTATAATAGGAATGGGTCAGGGAGGAGGCCCCGCCCCTGGTGCCCCTCCTACTGCCAGTCAAGCGGACATGAGCCTACCATCCTGCGCAGGCGGACTTGATGTGCAGCAGGTTCTGTATGGCAACATTTCGATGCACCCATCCCACCCTAACCAGCAGAGACTGCCTGTGTCAGCCATAACTGCGGCCTACAGACAGAGCGCTCTGGCCCAGCAGCACTCCCATCTGAAGAGTCAGCCCAATGCTGCCTTGCTGAAACAGCAGCAGCAGCAGTTAGCTCGCCTGCCCAACAGTATGCCCAACACACTAGCGAACAACATGAATTCAGCCATGTCCGGCTCCATGTCCAGCAGTATCCCAGGGGCGATGCCACCACAAGCCCAGTCCTGGCAGCAGCAGCAGCAGCAACAGCCTCATCCTGCTCTGCAGCAGGGCATGGCAGGTCAGCCGAATCCCAGCAACAGCGGCATGCCTTCTGGCTTCCCCAGCTCTGGATTCCACATGCAACCACGGATGCCTAAGCTGCCCAACAGCGCTCAATTCACTCAGGCTGGTATGGGGAACGGTGCGGCCAGCAGGGCCATGACAGGCATAAACCCTGGGCAGATGATGCCCAACATGACCCAGCAAAGGACCAACAATGCTGGCATGGGGCAGCAACTGCCTCCTCCCAACCAGCAGCAGCAGCAGCCCCAGCAAGGACAGCAAGCGCCACCTCAGTCGCAGCAAGTGCTTCCTGACTTGGGGGCTTTCGGGCAGCCGCAGGGCACTCAGGTGCCCAACCGCACTGCAGGCATGCCGTGCAACCAGGCCTACCAGGTCAACCAGTCAGCCGGTCAGCAGCTGCAGTTTGGCTACAGCTCCCAGCCGGGTGGCAGTTTACCAAGCTTCCCCGGGGAGAATGACCTGGTGGACTGGAAGAACCAATCGACCCAGGAGTGGATGGACGATCTGGATGCGCTGTTGGCCAATCATCAGTGATTTTTGTGATCACATTAGCCAATGACAAACTTGCATTATCCAGCCAAGGGGTGTGATACAGGAGTGCTAAAGACTTCGTCAGTGAGTTCTCCAGACAGTTGTCAGAGTAGGGTGAAATTGCTGGCTGTACTATGGTCAGAACTGCTGTTTATTTGTTTTGGGGTTTTTTATTGCGTATGTATACGTGATATGTATATAATATAAGACGCGTGTGGAGCACAGGACCAAAAGCCTGTGTATATTGAGTATTCCCAGGGCTGGAATGAAATTGTAGAGGGAAAAAAAAAACATTCTACTACTGAACCTGTGGCTCAGTACTAAAACCACTGAATCATACCCAAATGTGATGGGTCAACACACACACACACACACACACACACACACACACACACACACACACACACACACCACTCACTCACTCACTGCTTTTTTGCCTTGTTTTGCTGTTAAGCTGCAGCCAGACTACCTACTTTTGCCTGAATCTGTTTTCCATTGCTTGTGTCGTAGCGCAGGGGCCAGACTGGGAGAGGTCTGAATATTCCCTGTTTTTCGCTACGGACGTGGACTATGTTTGATGTCATAAACCCTTATACTGACATAAGAGATACTTAGACCCTTTACGTATAGTCCCACAAGCCTTAGTCCTGCATCAGTGGCCTTGAGGTGAATATCTTCGATGAACACATTTAGGACTGATTTAAAGGTAACGAGGAAAAGTAGAGGGGGAGGTTTCCTTTCTCCCTGTTTTGTGTTTTGACTTGGCACCAGAATCTCAACAGTTGTATTGATTCTTTGCTTACTGAACGTGACGAGTTAACATGCTCTGTGGATCAGCAGCGAGGCTGAGGCTGAGGCTGGCGAATAAACGGTTCAGAGTCGAGGGCCCACTGGCTGAAGCATTACACTACAACACTAACATGAAAACACATAGAAGACCGTCTCATCGTTTCTCTTTGACATGTTACACTAAAGCAGAACCTGTTCCTCCGTCATGTTTCCATGACGGGGCAATATGCCGTAGATTAAGACGGTTACCTTTTCCCCCCCCTCCCGGCCCCTCCCCATCCTTCCCTTCCTTCGTGTTACATTGGGGTAGGTGGATCGTTCCAACCTGAGAAATGAGTGGGTGTTTGTTCGGGGTTTCAGCTTACTGTCTGCATCTAAGAAGCGTGCTCGTTTCAGTATCTGACAGGGCTTCTTGTTTATTTATATATATTTTTTGTATGTATGCGTTTCCTAATGTTCTGGAGAAGATAGATCTTATTTTTATATGTACATTGTTGCGAATTTTTGTAAGTATTTTATACTTTTTATTATTGTTCTCTGCAAAAACAAGAGTATTATGTAAATATAGTTCTTTAGAAACAGTTGTGTGTGGTGTGTTTTGTATATCCTGTTCCTCGGACTGCTGTTTCTGTTTTTTTTATATGTTTGCGGTTTGAAAGATGCCAACTGGTTCATTAGAACGATGCTCTGGCGGTTTATGCTTAGGAAGGTTTTACTAGGTGCCACAGGTACTGTATTCATAAAAATCGCATTTTACTGCAGATCATAATGACTCAGTAGTAGACATGCTGATATTTGGTAATCAGTTATGAAGTTTTGGACACTTAAAAAAAAAAAAAATGCATTAACTGCATCTCAGACAGGTATTTTTAGATATGCAAATTAACTCTGGTTAGCAACTCTGCAGTCACATTCTGATCGTTTTATGTGCAAGATTTCAAAAATGCATGCATGTTTGCAGTCACAAGTATCATATATGGAGTAAGATGACCATAACCGTAATAAACGCCTTGTATAAGAACCTGGTTCTGTTTAACAGGCAGCTCGGCTAACAGGCTAAGAGGCGCCTGCAGTATTATTCAGGGTTAGTCATATGCAAAATGATTTTCAATAAATTTTAATAAAATTTACATTTTTTTTTTTGTTAGAATCATAAATGAAAATAAGTGAATACATCCTCTGCACCTTTTAATGCACGTGTGTATGTATATATATATATATATATATATATGTTATATTTTTTTTTAAATTTAACATATTGGGGGAAAAATGTGGCCTACTTATAATTTGCTTTTAATGCAAGTTATGGCATGTTGTTTTTTTTTTTGTTTTTTTTTTCCTCCATAATTTTCCAGCATGTTAAGGTTTTTCTTTTTTTTTTTAACATTTTTACAGTTTAGAAAATCTTTTAGATTTCTTTTGAAGTTGAAAGATTTAGATTTATCATAGTTTCATTTTTAAATAAGAAAAACATTTCAAAACTTTTAAATCGAAATTGTGCGCTAAAGTTTGCAGAAAGTTGTCATATATAACTTTGTTCTGCGTTGATGTCTTTTTTCACTTCAAAATCAACAAAACGTAACCTTTGCATGCGACTGTAGTCTTTAATTTTCCGAAGGATTCATAAAACAGCAAGTTAAAAAAAATCAAAACATTGTCCTTCCGTCCTCAGATGTGTTTCCAGTTTTCTGAAATGTTATATTAATTATATAATTATATTAATGGTTAGTTAATATTTTTTGCTGCATGCTGGTGAGCGGTGATGTAATCAAAACTCAGACATTTTAGGGGCGGGCAAGAATCACTACACTTAATTTTATGGGGAAACAAAATTGTCTTTCAAATTGTAGATGAATCATGATTAATGTGGCCAGAGATTGGGGATGGATATCGTTAAGATTTTATTGATACGGACACTTATTGGTACTCTTATTAATACTAATCTCCATAATTTGGTCCTTAAAAAAAAAGTCTATGGTGATTTATTTCCCTTACGGTTGAAAATGTTAACCATAAGCAATATAAAACTGGTTACCCCTGGTTTTCAGGATGGCTCACACCAAGGTCAAACCCAGGCTACCTAGCCGTTAGCGATTAATGCTAGCTACCAATTCTAACTCAGTGCAGACTCAGCTTAATATTGCTGCTTCCCCCTTTGAGTTGATTTAGGCTATAAAATATCCTAATTATTATTTCAATACTGGAAACATTTTCTAATAAGGACATTTATACTATCAAACTGTCCTACCTGTAGTTCTAATACAAGCCTGAACTGGCTTCCTATCTTAATTCAGTTTTCCTGTTCCACCTTAAATGGTGAGGTAGTTATATCCTCTGAGGTGCCAGAATGTAACATCTGCACCATTTAAGGTGGAACTGAAAGATTTGTACTTGAAGTTGGTGGCTAGGAGGCTGAACTTCAGCTTCATAGTTTTAATGCTGGTAGCATTTTTTGATAAGGTGATTTAAACTATCAAAATATCCTACCTAGAAATATATGAATGGAACCCATATATATGTGCTTCAGTAAGATATTTTGTCAAGGTAGCACAGTTCGTCACTTCAGTTCTTGATACCCATCTCTACCAGGGATGGGAACTAATAAGGGGGGAATGAAAGATCCATTTTTTTTTAGTTGACTTAAGCTGGGCGTTCACTACATGACTTAAAATCGTAAAGAATTTCTGAAACGGTGAGACTCACAAAGTTCACATCAGTTTGTCACAGAATTTCTTGTCTTTTTGTTCAAAAAGTAACTGCTGCATCATTTAAGATGGAACAGGGAGAAGATGAACAAGAAGCTGGCGAATGTCCTGAGAAAATGCCCTCTGAAAGTGTTACCAGCATTAAATTAATAATTAGGATATTTCAGTAGCCTAAATCAGGGATAAGCAGTAGCATAATATTAATGATGACGTAGAGAGAACTGCAGGGAAAACTGCTTTTTCTGTTCTCACTTCTTTTTCATCTGTACATGGAAATACGCTACCATACCAGAGAACTTGTAGAGGGGAGAATTATCACTCTGTAATGTCTTCCGGGCTTCTCAAACGCTAGAGGGCGCTCCCGAGTCCAAAATAAATGGGTTAAGATGGAGCATTTGAGCAAAATCATAATTTATAAACGCTTGAACATTTTTAATGTAAAAGAATACATTCATTTCCTGAACACAGAACAGCATAAAACATTTTAACACTGCTGTTATATTTTTAAGAGCTTTTAAACTCGAGTTATAGGAGTTTAAAACCGGTCTCTGTGAGCGTGGACAGCCAATGAGCTGCTCCGCTCGCCAACCAATCAGCACTCAGTAGCAGTAATGTTAGCGTCCTGCTGCCCAAAACCTGTTTGCTGTAGAAAAAAGGAAACATACAGGTGAGTTTGCTTTGTTTATTTAGTGAAATCCATCCTTCTACTGTCTAAAATTAAAGGAAAGTTCTGGGCGAGTGATTAGAAACTATTTTAACTATTTCGTTTTTTTGCTGTTGAGCTCCATTTACTCCCAATCACTGAGGACTTGCTCATGGGCGCCCTCTGGCGTTCTGCAGTCCTGTTTTTGATATAATAATGGGGGAAATAGGAAGTGGCCGGGCTCCTCATAAACTGGCTCTGACCGTACTGCCAAAGCGTGCTTAATGAGCCTGCCAGGCTAATTTCGTGAACTCAGTGCTCAGTAGCGATAGCTTACGAGCATTTTTATCCACCACAGGGGGCGATAGAGCCGATTTTTCGAAAACCCTGTTCATTCTGGCCATAGAGAAACCGAGCTTAGACCCCAAGTTCCTAATATGGGCGTAAGAGCATGACGCCGACTACTTAGTGAAGACACGGCTACAGTGGTTTCTCCTCTCACACTAATGGATCCTCTGCGCTGTCAGTTGCTTCTAATCGAGCTCCTCACCTGTAAAATCACTTCAGATTGTGAACATTTGTCACAAGGAGCCAATCAGGTTTAAAGTTGGGAAGAAAGTCATATAGTGTAGACCCAGCTTCAGAGCTACCGTCGTATAGTGTCGTATACTGTAGGCCCAGCTTCAGAGCTACCGTCATATAGTGTAGGCCCAGCTTCAGAGCTACCGTCGTATAGTGTCGTATAAGTCGTATAGTGTAGACCCAGCTTCAGAGCTACCGTCGTATAGTGTCGTATAAGTCGTATAGTGTAGACCCAGCTTCAGAGCTACCATCGTCTAGTGTCGTATAAGTCATATAGTGTAGGCCCAGCTTCAGAGCTACTGTCATATAGTGTCGTATAAGTCGTATAGTGTAGGCCCAGCTTCAGAGCTACCATCGTCTAGTGTCGTATAAGTCATATAGTGTCGGCCCAGCTTCAGAGCTACCGTCGTATAGTGTCATATAAGTCGTATAGTGTAGACCCAGCTTCAGAGCTACCGTCGTTTAGTGTCGTATAAGTCGTATAGTGTAGGCCCAGCTTCAGAGCTACCGTCGTATAGTGTCGTATAAGTCGTATAGTGTAGGCCCAGCTTCAGCGCTACCGTCGTATAGTGTCGTATAAGTCGTATAGTGTAGGCCCAGCTTCAGCGCTACCGTCGTCTAGTGTCGTATAAGTCGTATAGTGTAGGCCCAGCTTCAGAGCTACCGTCGTATAGTGTCGTATAAGTCGTATAGTGTAGGCCCAGCTTCAGCGCTACCGTCGTATAGTGTCGTATAAGTCGTATAGTGTAGGCCCAGCTTCAGCGCTACCGTCGTATAGTGTCGTATAAGTCGTATAGTGTAGGCCCAGCTTCAGCGCTACCGTCGTTTAGTGTCGTATAAGTCGTATAGTGTAGGCCCAGCTTCAGCGCTACCGTCGTATAGTGTCGTATAAGTCGTATAGTGTCGGCCCAGCTTCAGCGCTACCGTCGTATAGTGTCGTATAAGTCGTATAGTGTAGCCCCAGCTTTAGAGCTACTGCAAGTAGTATAAACCCATTATGGGGGAGTGAATGTAAACCACCAGCTTGGGTCTAACATTGTAAATCCCACAGAGGAGCTAGCAGAAGTTGGCATTATCATAGATGAGGTATTTGGATAAAGAAAGACTTCTTACAAGGCAAAATGTTCTACATTAAATGCTGATATATGATGATGTGTAGTACCGGCTCATGTGCTTGATTTACAAAATTAATGAAATGTCTGGAAAATCCAGTGCTTTATTTTTTTGCAGTGTGTTATCAGTCAGAGCACCTTCTCAGCTCTGGGTAAAGGTTGCAGTGCCGTCCTTATATAAGCTGCGTTCCAAAGTTGAAGTAGGGAGGGTCCTCTGTAGGACTGTCCTATGAAGACTCCTCCTTAGTAGCCTATTGATCATACAAATGGAACAGCACTAACGAGTCTGTGTGGTGACGTCACCAGAGCGGCGCCAAACTTGTGAGGGAGCTGGTGAGAGAAAATGGAGCCCATTGCATTGAGGAGATGGAGGAGATGTTCTTATGTAATACGATAAACTACACATAAACAAATACTTCTAAAAAAAATGCGATATATGGACGGATTCTTTAATTAATCAGTCATTTTACACTTTATAAGGTAACGAAAACAAATTCAAGGATGCAAACAACTTACAATTCCGAACAAGCTCCAACGGCTTCGTTTTCTGCCAATTTCGTGGTGCTGTTTTTCTTTCCCGTGCGTCTTTTGTGCGCGGAGAACTGTAGGTAACCAAAGGCCTGGAAGGATACATCTGATGCATCCTCAGAATCACTCTGAATGTATACTATATTGCCAAAAGCATTCACTCACCCATCCAAATCATTGAATTCAGGTGTTCCAATCACTTCCATGGCCACAGGTGTATAAAACCAAGCCCCTAGGCCTGCAGACTGCTTCTACAGACACTAGTGAAAGAATGGGGCGCTCTCAGGAGCTCAGTGAACTCCAGCGTGGTACCGTGATCGGATGCCACCTGTGCAGCAAGTCCAGTCGTGAAATTTCCTCACTACTAAATATTCCACAGTCAACTGTCAGTGGTATCATAACAAAGTGGAAGCAATTGGGAACGACAGCAACTCAGCCACGAAGTGGTCGGCCACGTAAAATGACAGAGCGGGGTCAGCGGATGCTGAGGCGCATAGTGCGCAGAGGTCACCAACTTTCTGCAGAGTCAATCGCTACAGACCTCCGAACTTCATGTGGCCTTCAGATCAGCTCAAGAACAGCGTAGAGAGCTTCATGGAATGGGTTTCCATGGCTGAGCAGCTGCATCCAAGCCTTACATCACCAAGCGCAATGCAAAGCGTCGAATGCAGTGGTGTAAAGCGCCGCCACTGGACTCTAGAGCAGTGGAGACGTGTTCTCTGGAGTGACCAATCACGCTTCTCCCTCTGGAAATCCGATGGACGAGTCTGGGTTTGGCGGTTGCCAGGAGAACGGTACTTGTCTGACTGCATTGTGCCAAGTGTAAAGTTTGGTGGAGGGGGATTATGGTCTGGGGCTGTTTTTCAGGAGTTGGGCTCGGCCCCTTAGTTCCAGTGAAAGGAGCTCTTAATGCTTCAGCACCAAGAGATTTTGGACAATTTCATGCTCCCAACTTTGTGGGAACAGTTTGGGGACGGCCCCTTCCTGTTCCAACATGACTGTGCACCAGTGCACAAAGCAGCTCCATAAAGACATGGATGAGCGAGTTTGGTGTGGAAGAACTTGACTGGCCTTCACAGAGTCCTGACCTCAACCCGATAGAACACCTTTTGGAAGAATTAGAGTGGAGACTGCGAGCCAGGCCTTCTCGTCCAACATCAGTGTCTGACCTCACAAATGCGCTTCTGGAAGAATGGTCAAAAATTCCCATAAACACTCCTAACCCTTGTGGAAAGCCTTCCCAGAAGAGTTGTAGCTGTTATAGCTGCAAAGGGTGGGCCGACATCATATTAAACCCTATGGATTAAGAATGGGATGCTACTCAAGTTCATATGCGTGTGAAGGCAGACGAGCAAATACTTTTGGCAACATAGTGTAGGCTGCATTTCTAGGCTGTATACAAAGGGTCCTTCGGTTTGGACCGGCCTGCTGTGACCTTGCGAGAAGTGAAGCCTACCTCAGAACACAGCTATACTTTATGCTGACAAGAGTTGGAAGGGTCTACCACCTTGTCCCATTACATTAATTTATAGGTTGATTAATTTATAGTGTGATAAAAGGTTTAGGTATTTTATTACGAAAGCCGACTCCGTAGTCTCAGACTACATTACAGGCCACTAATAATAAAGACCCCTTATTGGCTGATAGTTTTACTGTAGTTTCTCTTCCCTGACACCCTTAACTTACTAGTAAACCTTTATTTGATTACCTCTGAGCTTCTTCCTGATCAGGACAGTGTTCATTGTGTGTATGTTTGTGTTTGTGCTTGCTCAGAACATTTGCTTTCCTGCTGAGCTCCGCCCACTCTAAAATAAGGAAGGACAGTGTGACGAGATGAGGGAGGATAGGGAGAACTGTGTGATTACACTTATAGTCAGATTAGAAGTCGCATTGAGCTGGTTGTGGTTGTGTGTGTGTGTGTGTGTGCGTGTGTACCTGCTGAACAATGCTTGATGAGGTGGTGTGTGTTGCTGCAGTCACGGTGCTGGGGGTGCTGGAGCAAGGTAGGAACTTCAATACCCCCTTTAATATGGACTTACCTTTGATATACTTTAATATACTTTTATGCCTTGCCTTTTAGAAGTAAAATGATCCAATTTCATGATATTGGGGGCCTGCTCTTTGAACAGGGATTAAGCCTAGTCCTGGACTACACTTTGCTTTCAATAGAGAATCTCCATTCAGAATAGTCTCTGTAGTCCAGGACTAGACTGGTAAAGTCCAGTAGCCGAAAACGAAGCTGCAGAATCTATGAAAGCAAGATTTAAAGGAAATTCTACTGATTTATCAGGATTTCTGCAAAATCTAACCGTAAACAAAGTCATTCAGGACGGTTTGATGTAAAATGCTCTGTTCTAGAGGAACCAGAAATAGTACATGGTAGTGGTGGTGATAGGAACCAGACATCTGAAGAATTTATTGCTTCTAAAAGCTGCACCAAAGAAAGTGGTAACCTTAAATGGTCATGAATGTCCACCAGATGTCTGAGAAATTCATAAAATAGTTTTACCCTAAGTTACACTGTTTTGTGGCCTAAAAAGTATTTTTAAGATGCATTTACAGCTGAGAGGTACATGTAAGGAGCTGTAAGGCAACAAAAGTTCCCAATAACCCTTTTTCCAGATTCACCATTATTTAGTAATTTTCAACATTACATATAAAACAGGTATATGTTCGCTGGTTGTTTTGAATAGCAAATAAAATGGCCGTGTTTGTGTTGAGGACATGGCAACCCGTGATTCCTATCACCACCACTGTAAAGATCATCTTAATGATTAATATGTGCAACGTTTTTGAAAAATTGGATGAACTCCTTTTTAAAGTCTTTTTCCTTGGAAGACAAGTTTAAATGTACACTAAGTTAATGTGCAAAGAAAGACTTTTTCATATTTATTTAGTGTTTTTAATATAACAGTGTAAACCGTTCTGTCACATTTCTTAGAGCATAAAATCTAAACATTCACATTGTCTCAAATTGATTTGGAAAAAAAAGTATTTTAATTAATATGCATAACACCCCTAACTTAAAGCAGCAGTACTAAAAAAAATCTGGTTCCATTGACTTACATTAAAAGTAAAGTAGGTTTTTTCTTCCTCCTGTAAAGTTACGTTTGAGGAAGCATCTTCACAAAGCCTCTCCTGCGGTCTGAGTGAAGCTTTAATCATGTTCTGCCTTTTCCTGCCAGCGTACTTCTCCCTGCAGGTGATCTACGCTCGACGGAAGTATTCTGTCCCCCCGCCGGCCACTACAGGACCCCCTGAGTTTGAGAGGGTCTTCAGAGCACAGTGAGTTTTTACCTGGACCTATGAAAGATAATCTATACACATTAATCTGTTAGTGCTGTATGATTATGCTGTGTGATATCCATGCTTGGCTAAGCAGGTTTATGTTGGTTTATGCGGGTCTAGTTCTGGTTTAGCTGGTCACCCTACATGGGCATGCTGGTTTACCAGCATACCAGCATCTAGACCACACTATGGTGGTTTTGCTGGTGAGCAGATGTGCTGGGCTATGCAGATTTGTTCACAGGGTTAGGTTTGTTACAGCTATTCTACAATCACCAGATCACAGTTATGCAAGCTGACCACAGTTATTTCCACAGTTGTTATCTTCCATAATCGTATGTTTACCTCGTAAATAACAGGATGTTTACCTTGTAAATAACAGGATGATTCATTTTCATAAGGTGTAAATATAAGAAAGCAGAAAAGGCATTTCTTGCGATTGTGTTGGGTCTTACAAAAACAACAGTTCTTGATTCGACTTTGTGCTGTAGCACCTTTAGAGGGCAGTGAGTAATGCTTATGACCTTGAGTTGCGTCTGTCGTCAGTATTGATAGCTGGGAAGCCAGATATTAATTAATTAACTCATTTGTGATTGTTCTTTAGTAATTGCATACAATTAACGGGGAATTCCATCAATTTCTGCACATTTCTGAATCATTCAGTCCTTAAGATGTAAAGTCATTCAGAGTGGTCTGACATTTCTTTACAGTGGTGATGACAGGAGCCAGGGGTCACCATGTTTACAGTGCAAATATACACATATTATTTACTATCCAAAACCACCAGTGAGCCTACAAGCGTCTTCTGAGTTTAAATGCAATGTTGATGATGGTAAAATAGTGTAAAATCTGAAAAAATAAAGTTTTCTTTGGAGATTATTTTACCTCACGATGCCCCACAAGGATCCCTCCACCACGAATGGATTAAAATAAATGCATTTTAAACCAAAATCTAATCAAATTGTCATAAAACAATGTGTCAGACATGTTTCTACATATATTTAACCATTTCATATAATACCTTTCTGTGAGGAAGCTTTTGGAGGTGGACGTCTGGTTCCTATCACCAGCACTGTGAACAGTTCTGACTTGGCAAGTTTCTCTAGAACAGAGCATCTTACATCAAACCACACTGAATGGTTTTGTTTACATCTTAACTATTTAATTATGTGGAAATTGGAAAAAAAAAGGCTTTTAAATTCTTAATCGTAATTGTTTATATAGCAATTAATTGTAAAATTTCATGATTGTGACGGGCCTAATCCTACAGCAGTTCTTTATATGGATGTTTTGACTTTGTGAGTTGATGCAGGCAGATATGAGCTGGATCAATAGACAGATAATACACTGTATTCTACATGTGGGTTGAATGCTGTACATTCTGTTTCTCATTTACCAGAGCAAACTGTTCTGAGTACTTCCCTCTGTTTGTGGTTACACTCTGGGTGGCTGGACTCTTCTTCAGTCAAGGTGAGCACTCATAACCACGGCCAGAGAGGGAGACGGAGTGGATTACCTCATATCACACATTTACATATAAACAAAACTGTGTGTGTGAAATGCAAAATACTGCAACTTTTACAGGCCATAAACACAGTTCTGGTTACAGTAACCCCACTGAGCTGAAAAGGGGAGATGAAAGTTTGTGAAGAGTGTGAGCGACAGTTCTAAGCTTTAGATCTTCTGATCGAATGCTGCACGTTGCTGATAAGCTTTCGAAAAGTACAGGAAAAAATGGTTTAGAATGTTGCAGCGATGCAAGTGTTTAACAGCAATGCAGGCACTTATAGATCTACATCATCTGCAACACTAAAGCGTTTCGAAATCTTGTATTCATGGCTTATATCTGATGAGTGTGTCTGTGTGTGCGTGTGTGTGCCTTTTAACCCTAGGCTTATAACTTGTTAATGTGTGTATCTATATATATATCGCTGTTGTTGGAAAAAAAAACTTGTATCTCCAAAATGGTAACTTTACAGGAGAAGGAAAAAACATACTTTACTTTCAATGTAAGTCAATGGAAGCAGACTTTTTCCCAAGTCATTTTGCGACCTTTCCTTGGGTCCGTTCTTCATGAAATTTACACACAATGTAAAGAGCAACAGACATTTTCAAATTACGTCAAAAACTGAAAAACAACAAAAATGAAAACTCTCTCTCCCTCTCTCCACCTCTCCATCTCATATTCTCTCTCTCTCTCTCTCTCTCTCTCTCTCTCATTCTTCATGAAAAAAAAAAGAGCAACAGACATTTTCAAATTACGTCAAAAACTGAAAAACAACAAAAATAAAAGATAGATATAGAGATACAAGGTTTTGTTTCGATATATACACCGATCAGCCATAACATTATGACCACCTCCTTGTTTCTACGCTCATTGTCCATTTTATCAGCTCCACTTACTATATAGGTGCACTTTGTAGTTCTACAGTTACAGACTGTAGTCCATCTGTTTCTCTGCATACTTTCTCTGCTCCCTTTTACCCTGTTCTTCACACTTTTGCACATTTTAATGCATGTGAATGTGTGTGTGAGTGAATGTGTATGTCTGTCTGTCTGTCTGCCCTGCGATGGACTGGCGACCTGTCCAGGGTGTATCCTGCCTTCCGCCCAATGACAGCTGGGATAGGCTCCAGCACCCCACCGCGACCCAGAAGGATAAGCGGTTTAGATGATGTATGTATGTTTGTAAATTTAGGAAATAAACAGACGTTGAGCACTAAATTAGCATTAAAAATGCCATATTTGAGTTCATCCACTTTTCAAAATCAGAAAAGAACACGTAGTTTGTCCGGGGGTGTTCAGACTTTTGCACATGACCGTATACTTTTCAGAAAACTTGTTACATCCAAAATTGTTACAAATGGATTTACAGTATTTCGGAATGAAAATAGTCTCATACTGTAATGAAGCACCGTCACTCAGCAGAAGCCGCTGTGAGTTCAGGCCTGTTTGTTTTTTACATGCTGTGTTTTTCCTCCTCCAGCTGTGTCTGTGGTTCTTGGGCTGCTGTACCTTCATGGACGGTATCGCTACTTCCATGGATATGCCAAGTCTGCACAGGGAAGGTAGGGGGCGCTAGTTCATTCTGCTGAGGTTATGATGGGCCTCTGCTTTCTTGGACTAATTCATTTAATTAATTTTTTTAAGAAAAAACAAACATATCATTTATTTCCTCCTTACTTTTGTTTCATTTAAAGTAACAATATCTGTAAAACTTTATAAAAAGTAACCACTTAATCTTTGTTAATGATTAAAATCATAAAAATGATCATATAGAATCACGACAACATAGAAAATCATAAAATAAAGTATATTACGTAATTCTCTCCTTTTTTCCTCTCTTCCTCTCTCCCTCTCCCTCTCTCCACCTCTCCTTCTCTCTCATATTCTCCCTCTCTTCCTCTCTCCATCTCTCCCTCTCTCTCATATTATCTCTCTCTCCCTCTCCATCTCTCCCTCTCTCTCATATTATCTCTCTCTCCCTCTCCATCTCTCCCTCTCTCTCATATTATCTCTCTCTCCCTCTCTCCACCTCTCCTTCTCTCTCATATTATCTCTCTCTCCCTCTCTCCACCTCTCCTTCTCTCATATTCTCTCTCTCCCTCTCTCCACCTCTCCTTCTCTCTCATATTCTCTCTCTCTTCCTCTCTCCACCTCTCCTTCTCTCTCATATTCTCCCTCTCTTCCTCTCTCCATCTCTCCCTCTCTCTCATATTCTCTCTTCCTCTCTCCATCTCTCTCTCCCTCTCTCCACCTCTCCCTCTCTCTCTCATATTTTTTCTCTTCCTCTCTCCATCTCTCTCTCCCTCTCTCCATCTCTCCCTCTCTCATATTATCTCTCTCTCCCTCTCTCCACCTCTCCTTCTCTCTCATATTCTCTCTCTCTTCCTCTCTCCATCTCTTCCTCTCTCTCATATTCTCGCTCGTCCTCTCTCCATCTCTCTCTCCCTCTCTCCACCTCTCCCTCTCATATTCTCTCCCTCTCTCCATCTCATATTCTCTCTCTCCCTCTCTCTCTCTCTCTCTCTCTCTCTCTCTCCCTCTCTCCACCTCTCCCGCTCATATTCTCTCCCTCTCTCCATCTCATATTCTCTCTCTCTCTCTCTCTCCCTCTCTCCCTCTCTCTCTCTCTTTCATATTCTCCCCGTCCCTCTCTCTCACTCTCCCTATTTCTCTTCTATTCTCTTTCTCTCTCTCTGTCTGTCTGTCTATCTCTCTCTCTCTCTCTCTCTCTCCCTCTCTCCCTCTCTCTCTCTCTCTCATATTCTCCCCGTCCCGCTCTCTCACTCTCCCTATTTCTCTTCTATTCTCTTTCTCTCTCTCTGTCTGTCTCTCTCTCTCTCTCTCTCTCTCTTTCTCTCTCTCTCTCTCTCTCTCTCTCTCTCTCATATTCTCCCCGTCCCGCTCTCTCACTCTCCCTATTTCTCTTCTATTCTCTTTCTCTCTCTCTGTCTCTCTCTCTCTCTCTCTCTCTCTCTCTCTCTCTCAGGTTGGCTCCCCTGTATTTCAGTGCTAAGGTGCAGTGGGTGCTGATAGCAGTGGGAGGGGTGGGTGTGCTGTGCTGTATGAGTCGTCTGTATGTCGGGTTCGACCCTCTCGCTTCTCTCTGTAACGTCCTGGGACTCAGCCAGCTCGACTGAAGGCAGCAGAGATGGAGGACTTTGTCCAGCTTCGTCCATCTTTGTCCAGGTTCAGCTTAAGCCCAACATGAGCACATTCACCTTCCGCATAAGGGTCAATTATCTAGAAGCAGCTTAAATCGGAGCTGGAAATGTGATTTTGTGTGTTTTTTGTGTTTTTTTCATAGCCTCGTCTGACGTCACATCTCCAGTAAGATAGAAAAGTCAGCAAACAGCCGTTAACTATGTTTTCATTTCACAACATTTCTCAAAATATTTTGCTTAATTTTGGCTTCATTCCTGCTGTACTTGTCAACACAAACGCACGCTGTGGAGAATAAATTAAACAAAGAAAAAATACACCGGCTGACTGTTCATATTTATTTTTATCTTTGAAGGGCAATTCCACCAACTTTTCAAAATTTCAGTGTTATCATTAAATTATCATTTAAGGTGTAAAGTCAGTCAGAGTGGTTTGGTGTGAAACGCTCCATTCAAGAGAAACTTGCCAAGTCAGAATTGTTCACAGAGGTGGTGATAGGAAACGTCTGACGAGTTGAATGTCTCTAAAAGCTAACCCACAGGAAGTTATTGCACAAAATGATTAACAATATGTAGCTAATGCCACATTGTTTTACGATAGTTTTGAGATAAGCCTTTGGCCTAAAACAGTATTTTGAAATTACATTAATGCAAGATATATACAGGCTTTCTAAGGTAAAATAGTGCCTAAAGAAAACAAATATTTTTTAATTTACCACTCTTTTCTCATCATTAACACGGCATATAAAAACTCATAAAACTCATGTAGGCTCACTGGTTGCTTTTTAATGGCTATTTGCCTTGTAGACATCACTGTTCCTATCACCACTGTAAAGAAATCTGAGTCTGTAGGCCCAGTTCAGTTTCTTCTTTTGACCCCTACCCCTTGTTTTTGAGTGTCACCCTAACCCCTTGGAACTGAGTTACAAGAGGTAGTGGTTGAAATCTTCCCTCTGAAATGGGACCCTCAAATAAAAAGAGCATCACTTCATTAACAGCTACCAGCGCTGCTCTGTAGGCGACCCTGCCAGTCTGCAGTGACAGCAGTGGAGGGTAAAGTTCAGCACCTCACTGCTGGGCTTTAGTTACATTTAGGGCATCATATGCCTTCAAAGAGGGGGCAATTATTTATTATCACCCACCCCTAATTCTTCAGTGATATGAAGCTGAAGTCAGATATTCACCAGCTTCTCATTCAAATTTTCCCGTTCCACCTTAAATGGTGCAGCAGTTACATTCTGGCGCTTCAGGCATCAGAACTGCTGCCCGATTTTTATCATTTAAGGTGGAACAGGAAAATTAGCTAGCTAGCTACCGAGACATTAGCATACTACTAGCGATTTTTGTATGCTTGTTATGAAGAAAAGGTCCATAATACACTCAAACAACATTAAACTAAGACAATAAAATGGTTATCATATTTTTTTAAGAGAAAATTCTCACATTCGTGGGTTTCTTTGGTCTCTTGTTCAGCCATCTTGCCTGTTTTTTTTCCTCATATCACTCTTTTTGGAGTCTCTGAAAATCTTCCGTTTGGAGGGCCATGCAGCCCCAACACTTCACCCCCCCCCTCTATCTCAACAAGAATCAGGACACCTTGATCTGAACACGCAGACCAGAGCTAAGGGCTAAGTGGTAGGGGTGAGGGCTGAAATGGGATTGGGCCTAGTTTCTCTAAAATGTGGATTAATTTATTCACATCAAACCAGCCTGAATGACTTTTCATTTCAATGACTGAATTAAGATCACTTATCAGATCATTTTTTTGGAATATTTTCAGTCCATTAACAAAAATCTAACGTGCATTTACCAAACATCAAGCATTACATTACATTAAAGTGTTCTAATTGTATGCTAAATACTGACTGAGTGTCAAGACAGCTAAGTTTGAACTGGCAAAATGCTGTTTGGTTATTTTAATTTGTATTTGTACATTTGAGAGTGACTCTATATTGATGAAGAAGCCTATTTAAAGACTTATTTGAATAGGATTGTATGAATTCTGTCATTACTAATCTGCACAAACTGGAAAAAGGGGGATTCAAAATATTCTGTTTTGAATTTTAAATGAGACGTTCATTCATTTTTGTTTTTAAAGATGTGCTGGAGGAAGCGAGTGAAGCTTTTGGCCGGCTTCATTCAAATAACTCATGAAAACAACAATGGTGACAGTATTTTCGGTTCCTGACTGTCTATTTGCTCAGTTTTAAAGGGGAATTCCACCATTTTTTCAAAATAGCTGCATAATAATTTTCACTTGTAGGCAAAGTCATTCAGAGTGGTGTGATATGAAACACTGCGTCCTAGTAAAACTCTCTCAGTCAGAATCTTTCACAGCGGAAGAGTTCAACGCCAAAAGCTCACACACAGGAAGTTAGTACACAAAATGGTCGATACTCAAAAGACACATTCAGGTTCACTGTTCATTTTGTATAGCAAATAAAATGTCTATGACTGTGTTGTAGACTCTGACACCCCTGGTTCCTACAACCACCACTGGTTTCTCTACAATGAACCACATTGAATGACTTTGTTTTCATCTCAACCGCCAAATGATTGTCTGAATATGATGTTTTGAAAGTTGGGTGGAATTCCCCTTTATCACCTCTAAAAGCTACTTCACAGGAAGTTACTTAACAAAGTTGCTACGTGATGCCTGAGAGATTTTTACGATAGTCTCAGATAAGGTTTTGGCCTAAAACCTAATTTTTTTTACAGCTCATGTATGGCGGAGTTTGTAAAACAAAATATTCCTTTTAAAATAAAACTTTCTTTTCTGATTTATCACTATTTTACCATCAATACTCCATATAAAAGCTCAGAAGGCGCTGGTTGTATCAGACATTGCGACGCCTGGTTCCCATCACCACCACTGTGAAGAAATCAGTCAGTAAGTTTCAGTACAATGAACAACTTCACATCAAACCACCCTGAATGACTTTGTTTACATCTCAATGATTCAATTACGCAGAAATTCCCCTTTAAATCTGAGATGCTTTGGCCTTAAATACTTCTTCACCACTAGGGGGCACCACAGCCCACAGCAATAAACTCCATGTCTTCTTTCTTAGTATGATGGCTGGCATTTAAGTTTTTACCACATCAAGCTTGAGTGAAAACCACTGAATGTATAGAACAGCCCTGTGGTGGATGGCTTTATACACAGGAACCAGAACCGCTGAAGGTCTAGAACCACTGAACATCTTGTTGCTGTCTGATTGCATTAGGCATCTAAAAGGAACCCAGACAAGAGAGCAAAGGTGAACTGAATGTAAATATGATATGAACTTGATATGAATTGGAACGATACTCCTCGACAACCCACCCCAGCAGAAAGACAATTTAGCTTTTCCTTCACTGTAAAAATGACATCACAGGGAAGTCTGTCCTTCTCTGAAAGCTCTTTTAGGTTTCATCTCTGTCCAAGTAAGTTGCACATCTTGTGCACGTATGCTCTTTGGTTGGCAATTTGTGTAAAAACGTAGAGCGGTGCAACATCTGGCTGTTGTCGAGGGGGAAATAAAGGCTTCCACATGGGATAAAAGGAGAGAAATAACTCCACATATGTGCTTTGGTTGGCACTGTCCAAGCTAACGCTAGAAAAGTTGAGTGTCATCAATTTCAGGTCATTTAAATGTGGAATATGGAGCGTTATAAAACAGATAGTTCCGGTCATAAAATCTGATTGGCTGAGCTGCGTTCAAAGCTGTTGTAAAATCCACGATATATGAACAGCTATGGCCACCTCACGACAACTGAACTCTGTATCACTGCGCCACGGCACTCTAATGCTGCTCACATGGAGCACCGAGTGCATTGATGAAGTAAGAACCCGTTTTTTGTTTAAACTGAGGGGCTGACAACTTATGTTCTTAACTAGAACCAGGCTGGTCAGCTAGCTAACAGGCTAAAAGAGCCAACAGCCTAAACAACTCCATCATTAACATCACAGGCTTGATTTAAAGTACTGTAACTGTAAAACTGCAGTATAAAAGTCTAAACAATGGCACTTTAATGTTTTACACCCTTCATATGTTCATGTTACGGTCAGAAGTCGCATCAAACCCAGGCTGAATCCCAAACGGCTCCCTACTCCCTAAACAGTGTTCTAGCTGTGAAAGTTTAGAAATTCCAGCCTCCACAGCCAAACAGTGCATCATTTATCGAGTGTGGATGTGTCTGAGTCCCAAATTACTCTTTCTTAGCTGTATTTTGCTCTGGTGGGCTGCAGGATCCAGTATTTAAATTCCTACGTAGGGAGAGCCATTTGAGATTCAGCCCCAGTGTGAGAGGAGGAGCGCAGCTGGATTGGTGCCAAATAAGACTCGCGGTGGTAATTTAGCGACGAAAAAGTATTTAAAAAGCCAAAGTTTTTGCATTAAACAGTGCTGCGTTATCATATGTTCACTGTTATACAACAAAAAGTTGGAAAATTCGTGAAATGACCTCAATATACAGAGATGGGTGACCAAATGTCCTCCTCATTCAGTGGTCCATGGCTGCGATAATACCACACTCTAAAGGAACTACATTTCTTGGCTGAAAACTTTGTCAATTATTATTAGTAATAAATGATTTTCTGAAAATTGTGTTTTTTACCGTGTTTTATTTTATCATGTGTTACTGCGATTTTATCTCAGGGAAGGGAGTTTTAAGAACATCCCTCCCGTGATCAAATCACAGTAACGCACTGCCTCTTGAGGCTTTATTCTGTGATGATCTGTATGGAATATGGGCTGGTTTATGATGAGGTTTATGATGCTCTGAAACATTCTCTGTTACCATGGTAACAAAGCAAGATAACCTTGGGAAAACGTTGTAATACAGGTAATGTGAATTGAGCAGCATTAGTTTATATAGCATTTGTGATTCATCATATGGGCACAATTCTCATGAGTGAGTGCTGCACTGTATGTTCAAAGGTTTGTAGATACTTATTGATGCAACGTTTCTTCTAAAATCAGGGGTATTTATATGGAGTTTGTTCATGTTTACTGCAGTAGCAGCCTCTACTCTTCTGGGAAGGCTTTAGAGTAGATGCTCGAACATTGCTGTGAGGACTTGATTGCATTCACAAAAGCATTAGTGAGGTCAGATACTGATGCTGGATGGTTAGTTCTGGATCATTTCAATCCAACTCATTTCAAAAGTATTGGATGAAGCTCCTCCTGAGAATGCACTCCAGTGCTGGGGGGCTTTGTCCCCCTTCAAGCCAAAACTTGGCACTGGGCATGGTGACCTTAAGCTTACATGTGGCTGTTCCAGAGAGCCCCATTCCATTGGCAATGCTTTTCTAGGGAGGTCATAAACTAAGTAAAAG